TAAGTATTTATTGATTAATTGACCTGAGTTCCAATCCCAGTTTTACCATTTACTATCTGTGTGACCTTGGGTAAGGAACTTCACTTTTCTTGGCCTCAGTTTTCTCATCAATGAAATGAGGACTAGATGACTTCTACGATCCTTGCCGGTTCTGGCTCTATCATCCTATGGAATAACGATTAATGTGTAGTGGTTAAAAGAAGGCAGGTCCTCCTCAAAAAAAAAAAGTTGTTTAAAAATTCACAATTTAATTCTTAAATTTAAATTTAATTCCTAACAATTGAAGTTATTAAAAATGAAATGGACTGCTTATGGAAGCAGGAAGTTCTCTATCCGTAGAGGTCTTCAAGTAATAAGCACTTGCTGGAAATGTTGCAAAAGTCATTAATTCTTCTTTGACTAGATCATTTCTAAGTTCCTCTCAAACCCTAAGAGCCTATTTTTTCTATATACAGGATATCTCAGAAGTCTTAGCATACTTTTAATCTATTAAAGCTTCAATAAAGAGTGTCCCAAAAGTTGTAATACAGTTTTAAGCTGGAGAAATTATCCATTCTCATAGCTTTAGCTATTGCTTCTCTAATGATGCCTTGGAAATCTACATTCCAGTCCTAACTTAACAGTCAAGTACCAGTCCTATCTTTCCAACTACTCACAGGATAGTGCTACTCGATGGCCCATTGTCACTTTAAACCCAGCACATCCCAAATTGAACTCATAATCTTGCTTTAGAAAAACTCGCATCTCTTCCCAATCTACCCATTTCCCAGTGGTACCACTCTTCCCCCTTGAGTGAGAGAAGTTTCTCTCACTCAAAACTTCAGAGTATCAGCAAAGTCTTGGTTGTTGTTGCTCAGTCATTTTTCAGTTGTGTCTGACTCTTCCTGACCCCATCTGGGGTTTTCTTGGCAAAGATACTGAAGTGGTTTGCCATTTCCTTCTCCAGCTCATTTTACAGGTGAGGAAGCTGAGGCAAACAAAGTTAAGGCACTTGTCCTGGGACACACAGATAGTAAATGTCTGAGGCCAGATTTGAACTCAGGAAGATGAGTCTTTCTGACTTCAGGCCTGGCACTCTATCCACTCTACCACCTAGGTACCCTAAGATCTCAATTACCATGTCCATTTGTCATTTGTCACTGGTCATTGAATTGGGAAGGCAGTGTGGTGCTGTGAAGAGCACTGAATTTATAACCAGAGGACTTGGGTTTAAATCTTGGCTCTACCCCTATGTGATCTTGGTCAAATTACTTTACTTCTCTTGTTATTGGTTCCTAATTGGCAAAAACGGAGGAGTTGGATTAGATGACCTCCCAACTGGAAGGGACATTATAGACCACCTAGTTCAACCCCCCAATAAACAGATAAAGAAACTAAGACCCAGAGGAATGAAGTGATTGGCCTGAAGTCTTTATCATTATCTCTTAATTATCTCTTCCTCAACACTTGACTTTTATTTAGCCCTAACACTTGTGTTGATACAATAGCCCTCCCTTATCTCTATGATACCAATCTCCCGGTTTACAATCCATTGTACAGTACACTCTGCTGCTGGATTAACCAAAAATGTTGAATGAAAAGTCCACAGTGAGACATTTGGAGGGAAGTAATTTTCTTTTAAAAAAGTAATTGAATACTCTAGATAATACTCAATTTCCCTTCATCACAAGGACATACTATTTGGTAACTCACGTACTCTTGACTTGGGAGGAACCTTGGGATAACCATAGGATTCAGTGCCAGAAGGAACTAGAATGATTATTTAATCCAACCTTCTTATTTTACAGAAGAGGAAACTGAGGCCCAGAGAGGTTAAATGACTTGCCTAAAGTAATTTGGGTAATAAGTTCAACCCAGGGTTGAAACCTAGGTCATCTGACTCCAAATATAGAGTGCTTTCCCCTATATCATATTGCCTTTAACCTGAGGACTATTATTGAGGAGAGCCAACTTCACTTATGGGTGCTTCTTCTTCCCTGTTTTCATCTTTGGCAGTAAGCTTCTCCTGAATTCTGTCTTCAGCTACCTAAATTTCTGACTTCTCTAGTGCTCCTCTGCTCCTCCCCTCCACTGCTTCACCCTTCTGTACTTAGGAGCTGGGATGTGAATTACCCCTCCTCTTCTGGGGCCTCTCAAGAATGGGGCAGGACCTCATGACTCACACAACCACTTCTCCAGTATAGGTGCTCAGCATCTCTCTCCTGACTCATAACAGGCTCTTAATTGGTCTCCCTGCTTCAGATCCCATCTTCTGTCCAATCAATTCTCAGAACTGCCAAAATGATTTTTCTAAAGCTAGCTCTTGACCATGTCATTTCCTTTCTTTATTTTTTTTTTATCATGTATCCTTATCAATAAAAAGTTTGAACATTCTCTTAATATATGGATATTTTCATATATCTGTGTGTGTGTATATATATATGTATATATTTTAAAATATATGTGGTACTATGCTAACAATTATGTACATTATAAAACACAAAAACTACGCATTCTAAAAGGATGGTATAAGGATGAAATAATACTTGATCCTAGTAGAGTCAATGGGGCTAGTCACTAGAGTAAGTGACATGACAGACCTGTGCTTTAGGAGAATCCCTTGAACAGCTCTGGATTTGCGACCTGCCCTTGTGAAGGGAGCTCCCACAGATCTTTGAAGCAATTCTAGCACACTGTCATTTTAGGACTAAATCATCATTGTCTAAACCAGCTTTGAAAACAGTTTATTGAAGAAGGTAAATTACACCATTGATAACATATTGGGTGATTTATTTTTAAATGAATTTTTATTGATATCTTTTGTTGTTTATCCCTCCCCCTCTTAGAGAACCACACAGAAGAATAAAAAAGAAAAAAAATTATCAAAAACATAACTAATAAAAAGTAGTCCTTTTAAACCATAGCCTACATAAGAAGGTTTAGGTCTTAAATTTATTAAGTAAATAATATAGATTACACTTTTTATATTTGTCTCTAGAGCAAAAGTATTTTCAAAATAATGAGACCAAGAAGTATCTCTGTACAATTAGCAGATATTGCCCTTAAATTATTTAAAAAACCATTTTAATTAAGCAAATATTTATATCCTAAGGTTTTTTTTTTAAAGTATTTCTTTCATTAGTTCTAGGTCATATAACATACAACGTAGGTATCATTTGAATGACGCTCCACATACAAAAATTAGAATTTACAAAAAAGACAAATTAGGGAATAAACATTTACTCTGAAGGAGAATTTTTCGCCTTATATCAGGTTTCCTTTAAGTACCCTGCCCCATATAGTACATTTCTGACCTGAATCAATTTCTATATGATACCTTAGGAATCCATCTATTGCACAAAACAAGGTAGAGCTCTTTCTATGTAAAGAGTGGGTGGTATTGTTCAGTTGTATCTGACTCTTGGTGACCCCATTTGGGGTTTTCTTGGCAAAGATACTGAAGTACTTTGCCATTTCCTTCGACAGCTCATTTTGCAGATGAGGAAACTGAGGCAAACAGGGTTAAGTGACTTACACAGCTAATAAATATCTGAGGCAGGATTTGAACTCAGGTCTTCCTGACTCCAGGCCCAGTACTTTTATCTGCTGTGTCACCTCCTAGCTGCCCAAAGGGTGGGTAACTGAGTTTAATTTGTTCCAGTAGAGAAGATGACACTAGTCTCTTGCTGTTTGGGAGGAATGAGGTTCCAAGATTTACTCAATGGAATTTTTTGTGGCTGATGTAATAGAAATGATTAAAGATACAGAGTTTCTGGTCTTACTCTTTTGTGATGGTGAAAGTCACTACAAGCAGATTCAGTGAAAAAGGCTCGAGGCTATAGCACAGGAACAAAACTATTTTTAACCTACCACCTTCTTCTACAAAACAAAAGCAAACTTTACTTTTAGCTGTTTGAACATGTTGATGAAATCTGACTTTAAGAAAAAAATTGTTTGAACTTGTCATATGAAAAGGTTGGATTGGTCCCTCCAGTTCTGAACCTACTAAACAGGATTCTTTGACTTGTTCGAATGATCTTTTTGCCTTTAGGGGTGTCTGATTTACAACATTTCACATATGCACACACTTCTATTTTCTAACTGATTGTCTATACAATTGGACACTGTGATTAGGGTAGGGGGAGTTCATCCTCTCTCAGTTCCAGTTTTATCCTCTATAAAATGCAAATAATAATAATAGTATTTACTTCACAGTACTGTTGTGAAGAACAAATAAGATCACATATGTAAACAGCACTTTGCAGAGCTCAAAAGCAGCTATTATTACATATATATGTGTATATATGTGTGTATATATATATATATATATGCTCAGGTTGTGGAAAGGAACATGGGATTAGGCTAGAGAAATTAGTTATAGAAAGAAAATTAGGTTATGGAAACAAAAGTTGGTTCCTATTGTCACTGATGTTCTGGGACATGCGTTTATGGTCAGATTCACAACGTAAGTGGATCTGTAACTGGAAGAGTAGTGTTTACTTTGCTGTATGATTTGAAGATTGCTATATTCTGCTTATGTAGCTTTGTAAATATCAGAGGAATGAAATAACTTTATAAGACGATAAGAAATTCTTTGGGTCAAGAGTTGTGTAAATAGCCTTTTCTTTCCAATTCGATGATAAATTCCTTGAGGATGGGGCAACTGCTTTATATGCCTCTTCTGTATTTTCCCTTGCAACTAGCAAAGGAGGAATTCGTGGAAAGTGTTTAATAAACACTAGTAATGGTTCAATTGCTTGAGAAGGAGGGGTGTACCACTGCAGGCTAGAGATGGTAAAGTTTGGTCATTTTTAATACTATTCTCCTGAAATTTATGGATTAGCTTAATTCCTAGAAAGCTGTTGTGGAAATCAAAATTTCACGTAGGCAGGCACTCCTATTTTCTTACTGATGGTCTATACCATTTGGCATTCAAATAGGAAAAAGTCATTTAACTTCTCTGAACCTATTTCCTCATCTATAAAGTAACAATAATAACTCAGGTTTACAAAGTACCTCATTTGTATTATCTCATTTGATTCTGGCAACAACCCTGTCATCAATGCTATTGTTATTTCCATTTTACAGATCAGAAAACTATAGCCTAAAAATGTATAAGTTTATATACCTAGTTTATATACCTAGTAAGAGTCTAAAGCAGAGTTGGAACGCAATTCTTTTCTGACTTCAAGTCTGGCACTCTAGGACCATTTCCCAGACTCAATTATAGGAATCAAGTGAGGTAATCTATGTAAACCGTAAAGCCTAGATAAATGTTAGGATAGGGACAGGTAGTAGACATGTGATTTTATTAGCATTGGAAACTCTTAGGTAAGGAAACTCCCTCTACCTTTTCTGCAACCTATTGTCTTAGAAGGGTGACCAGAGCACAAAAAGGTTAAGTGACTGGCCTGGGGCCCGCCAGCCTTAAGAGTCAGAGGCACCCAGGCCAACTCTTTATCCATCGCCTCTCTTATTAAAATTAGACAACTAACTTTATGTAACTATTATAGTAGTCTGAGAAAATGGAAGATCAAGTTAACGCCTACTCTCCATTGTTTTTTCTTTATTGGATGCTATAATGTAGTGTTATGGAACCAAGAAAAATATATTTCTACATGAATATATGAACTTAACATTGTTTGTAGTGGTAGTTTAGAAATAGGCCCCATTTCACAGGGAAATGCCTTGGCTTTGTCCTTGGTTCCAGAATCCCCTAATCACCATCTCTTTATGTGTGCAAGTCTGTCTTGATGACATGTAGACAAAAAAACCCAAAGATCAGGGTCTTGCCTGTAACCCTCACTGATTTCGAAAGGCCATTGCTTCTGTCAGTTTTAACTTCACTGTAGTCCTATAGAGTCAGGATTATATCTATTGAACATACAAAGATCAGAAGGAAAAGAACCAAAAAAACTCCCACAGAAGTAATGGATCTGAAAAAGGGTTCCAGCCACCAGTGTGGAAATCAGTCCTCCAAGATCCTAAGCCTTCTCCATTGCTAGCGAATGGTGGTCATTCTCAGACTCCTTAGGGTCCCTCTTTAGGTCACCTACTCAAAAAAATCATAGATTTCTATCCAATTAACCTACCATAGCCTGAGGAGTTGAAGTCCAATTACTCAGTGAGGAGCTGAAACATACAGGCTTCGTCATCTTTCTTCTCCATAAGTTTTAGCTGGTCTTCCTCTACACCAATATAGAGTCCTTGAGAGCTGAGGCACTCGAATGAAACTAACTCAGACTTATGGCGCAGAATGAAGTATTTGTTTTTCAGGGCTGAGTTTTGACTTTCACTTTCGTGAAGCTATGAAAATAAGATGGAAAGACAAACATTTTGGTTCAGTTCAAACTGGAAAAAAATGCTTATTAAGCACCTGTCGTGTGCAAGGCCCAATGATATTCTCTGACTCCCACTCCCCCAGTTTTTTCTTAAACCTCAAACACCACACTTTTCTCCCAAATGAGGCCATTGGCCCCAGCTCCCTTTGTCCTTCTCTACATTTCACAGCATGTGGTGTCAACCCTTAGTTCTCCTCTTTTATTTCAGTCCCTGAGAAGAGGTGATTTCACTAACCTTTCTATACTGACCTGCCAACCCAATCCCTCCTGTCTTTTCCAATAGATTGCCCTCCTTGTTACCTTCCTCCTTTCCATCTCCCTCAGGCCTGCACAACATATGACCCGTGGGCTTCCTGCAGCCAGCCAAAGGATTTTAGGCGGTCCTTGAAAAATGTAAAGTTGCCACTGCCCACTCTCCTGTTTGTCACATGACCTGCAGCAACCAACCATTGTCAGATTGTCTCTAGTCTAACTTATCAGCCTATTTTAATTTTGGCCCCTACCTACTGCCAAGTTGCACAGTCTGATCTTCTCCAATCATCAAACTTTCCCTATCTACATTTCCTCCCCTTCAAAAACAAGGACAGGATTCAACCAAGTCTTCTGATTCTTAAAAACACTCTATAACATCCCCTCAAGCTATGACCTAGGGGAAGAAAACTTGTCTATACTCATTGCCTTTACTTCTACTCTCACTTATTTCTCCCCTTTTTATAGTCTGGCTTCTGACAACATTACTTAACTGAAACGGCTCATAAAAAAATATTAGTGATCTCTTAATTTTCAAATTTGATGGCCCTTTCTCAGTCCTCATTCTTCTTGCATTGCTCATTCAAGAGAACCTCCTTATCTTTCCTTGCTATTGTCTGCAATTTTGCATTCAGTAGGGTATGTCTTTCCCTTTCCCTTTCCTCCTTTCCTTAGCAATTTGTAAAGCCTCATCAGACAGCCATTTTGCTTTCTTGCTCTTTTTCTTTGGAATACTTTTTGTCGCTGACTCCTGTACAATATTGTGAATCTCTTCAGACACTCAATCTACAAGATATAATCCCTTAAATCTATTCATCACTTCTATTTTATAATCATAATGGATATTATTTAGATCATACTTAGATGGTCTGATGGCTTTTCCTACTTTGTTCAATTTAAGTCTGAATTTTGCAATAAGAAGCTTATGAGCTGAGACACAGCTCCTGGTCTTGTTTTAACTGACTATAGAGGTTCTTCACCTTTGGCAGCAAAGTATATAATTAATCTGATTTTGATATTGACCATGTGGTGATGTCAATGTGTAGAGTTGCCTTTTGGGCTGTTGAAAAAGAGTGTCTGCTTGATGAGTGAGTTATCCTGACAAAACTCTATTAGTCTCTGCTCTGCTTAATTTTGTATTCTGAGGCCAAACTTACTTGTTATTCTAGTTATTTTTTGTTTTCCTACTTTACTCTTCCAAACCCCTATGATGACTGTGGCATCTTTTTAAAAATTGTTATTTCTAGAAGATGTTGTAGATTTTCATAGAAATGAGCAATATTGGCCTCTTTAGCTTCAGTGGTTGGAGCATAGACTTGTATTGCTATGATATTGAATGGTTTGCCTTGGATTCAAACAGACGTCATTCTGTCACCTTTGAGATTATACTATAGTAATGCTTTTCTAAACCCTTTCATTGACTATGAGTGCTACTCCATTTCTTCTAAAGGATCCTTGCCCATAGTAGTATATGTAATGATTACCTGAATTAAATTCACTCATTGCCACCCAATTAAATTTACTGACACCCAAGATGTAAATGTTTAATCTTTCCATCTCTTTCACAGAGATAAGAAGTTTCTCTTAAATGAGCAATGCAAAGAAATAGAAGAAAACAATAGAATGGGAAAGACAAGAGATATCTTCAAGATAAGTAGAAGTATTAAGGGAATATTTCCTGCAAAAATGGGCATGATAAAAGACAAAAATGGTAGGTCTTAAAAGAGGTAAAAGAGATTAAGAAGAGGTGGCAAGAATACACAAAAGAACTATACTGATAACCACAACGATGTGGTTACTGATCTAGAGCCTGATGTCCTGGAGAATGATGTCTAGCCGGCCTTAGGAAGCATTGTTAACAATAAAGCTAGTGGAGGTATTGGAATTCCAGCTGAGCTATTTAAAATCCTAAACGATGATGCTTTTAAAGTGCTGCACTCAATATGCCAGCAAATTTGGAAAACTCGACAGTGGCCACTGGATTGGAAAAGATCCATTGATGTCCCAATCCTAAACAAAGGCAGTGCCAAGGAATGTTCAGATTACAGAACAATTGTGCTCATTTCACACACCAGCAAGCTTGTGCTTAAGATTCTTCAAGCCAGGATTCAGCAATATGTGAACCAAGAATTACAAGTAGAGCAGTCTAGTTTTCGAGGAGGCAGAGGAGGTAGAGACCAACTTAGTAATATTCACTGGGTTGTGCAGAAAGCAAGAGATTTTCAGAAAAAAAAATCTACTTCTGCTGCACTGACTACACTAAAGCTTTTGAGACTGTGTGGATCACAACAAAGTGTGGCAAGTCCTCAAAGAGATGGGAGTACCAGATCATCTTACTTGTCTCCTGAGGAACCCATATGTGGGCCAAGAAGCAACATTTAGAACTGACCGTAGAATAACTGATTGGTTTAAGATTGGAAAAGGACGACAACAAGGCTGTATACTGTCATCTTATTTATTTAACTTATATGCAGAGTACATCATGTGAAATGCCAGGCTGGTTGAATAAAAAGCTGGAATTAAGGTTGTTGGGAGAAATATCAATAATCAGATATGTAGACAATACTACTACTCTGATGGCAGAAAGTGAAGAAGAATTAAGAAGCCTCTTGATGAGAGTGACAGAGAAGAGTATAAAAGCTGGCTTGAAGGCGAACATAAAAAAAAAACTAAGATCTTGGCAGCTGGTTCTATCATTTCCTGTCAAATAGAGGGAGAAAAAATGGAAGTAGTGTCAGATTTTATATTCTTGGGCTCAAAGATCACTACAGACCGCAACTGCAGCCATGAAATTAAAAGACATTTGCTCCTTGGAAGAAAAGTTATGGCAGATCTGGACAGCATACTAAAAAGCAGAGACACCACCTTGTCAATAAAGGTCCATGTAGTCAAAGCTATAGTTTTTCCAGTAGCAATGTGTGGCTGTGAGAATTGGACTCTAAGTGCTGCAGAATTAACACTTTTGAATTGTGGTGCTGGAGAAGACTTTCAAGAGTCCTTTGGACATCAAGGAGATCAAATCAGTCAATACTTAAAGAAATTAATTTAGACTATTCACTGGAAGGTCAAATACTGAAGCTTAAATTCCTTGTCCGTATAATGAGAAGACAGGACTCACTGGAAAAGACCCTGATGTTGGAAAAGGTTGAAGGCAAAAGGAAAGGGGGATGGCAGAGGATGAGATGGATAGATTGTATCATGGAAGCAACAAACAAGAGTTTGGCAGATTTGATGAGAATAGTGGAGGATAGAAGGATCTAGAGTGCTATGGTCCATGGGGTCATGAAGAGTTGGACATAACTGAATGAATGACTGAACAACAACATCTGTGCAGCATTTGACAGTTTCAGCCACCCTCTCCTCCTGAATAGTCTCCCCTTTCTGGGTATTTGTGACACCTCTTGGTTCTCCTCCTCCTATCAAGCTGATACTTCTCAGCCTCCTTTGTTGGATCATCTTTCATGCCATGAGCCCTAATTGTGAGCACATTCTATGACTGGCCTGGGTTTTCTTTTCTTCTTCCATTAGCTCCCAAGGCTTTCATTGGAATTTCTATGTGGATGACTCCAAGAGTTACACATATCTAGCCCAAGTTTCTCTCCTGACCTCCACTCCCTCATTACCAGTTATCTATTGGATATTTTGAACTGGTTGTCCCACAGGCATCTTAAACTCAACATATCCAAAACAGAATTCATTATTTTTCCTTCTGATCTCACCCTACTTCTAAACTTTCCTATATCTGTTTAGATAGGACACTACTATCCTTTCAGGTACCTCTTGGTGCCATCCTCAACTCCTTATTGTCAATCCATATATCTAACCAGTTGCCAAATCTTGTTTTAAACCTCTGCAATCAATCAATCAACAAGTGTTTATTAAGCACTTACTCTGTGCCAGCCACTGTGCTGAGTGGCTTATAACTATTCTCACCCTTGTCTTTCTATTCTTATAACCATTATGGTCTTTCTTCTCACCTAGCCTATTGCAATATTCTTCTACTTGAGGACTTGTTTCAAGTCTCTCTTCATTCTATTCTATCCCCCACAAAGCTACCAAGGTGATTTTCTTAAAGCATAAGTCGACTAGGTCAGTGCTCTACATGGTAAACTCCAGTGGCTCCTGATTACTTCTAGTCCTTTGTTATACAAAGACCTTTATAATCTTCTCCCTAATCAATCTTTAAGCCGTAGCACACATTATTCCTTCTTCACGTACAGTACAGTCCAACCAAACTGCCCTCCTATTTCTAAAACACAACTCAATCTCTTGTTGTCCTACCTTTGTACTTATGCCATACCTGTAATGCACTCCTTTCTTACTCTCAAAACTCAGCTCAAGTACCATCTTATACAAGAAGCCCTTCTTGATCTCCTTAACTGCTGATGCCTTCCTCTTCACTCAATTATTTTTTAAAATCTATTTTGTATATAACTGTAGATGCTTATGTTGTCTCCTCAGCCTAGACTTAATGCTTCTCTAGGTCATGGGCTGTTTGGATTTTTTCTTTGTATCCCTGATAACTAGCATAGTGTCTGGCACATAGATGGCATTTAATAAATGCCTGTTGATCTACTGATTGAGCCAACTCAATAAAACTTTGTTAAACCCAATTCCATGGAACAGTGTTGGGGGAATGAAGCATGACAAAGATAACAGTATTGTAAAGATTTGTGATTTTGTCCCCCTAAGGAACTCCTTCCACCAATGTAGACAGTGATCCACCTATGGCTTTAAGGAGGGAGTTGCCAGAGGCTTAGCAGGATTAGTTGATCAACTGACTTGCCTGGGGTCATTCCACTAATAAGTAACTAAAGTGGTATTTGAACCCTGGTCTTCTTCCCAGGCCTCTAGCTCGGCACTTGATCTTCTATTATGAGGTTGCTTCTCTGGTGAATATAATATATAGTAATACCTGATACAGCAGAAGCTGTGGAATCAATGGATCATGTGTGGACATGGACCCTTTGCAATCTTATGCGCCCCCTTGCTGAAGGACTTGTGCTTTGGGATAATGAGGTCTACCCTAACTGTTCTGAATGAGTAGGGCCTTGTCAAAGAGGATTGACCACTGACTGAGTTGGGAAGAGCCACTCACTCAGAAGTCCTTCTAAGGAGAGAACAAAGTTTCCACGTGTTTCTCTCTTCCTCTCTATTGAACTGTGCAACTTGGGATAAAGGCAACCTCTACCCAGAGAGTTCAAAGGAGAGGTTGCCCCAGACCCAAAAAGATGTGCTGAAAAGGAAAGAATAGGGAGATAGGTGAAGACTTTTTCCTCTCCTTTGAAAGACTACTGAATGGGCAGTTCTTGGGTCAGTGGCCAATGTTCTTCTTGGCATCCCTAAGTCATTGGGGGCCAATAAGGCATTGCTATATCATTCCAAAGAGGAAATAAGTCCTTCATCAAAGGGCCAGAGAATAGTTAGCCCATTGGAAAGGGCCCCAGACATGCTCCATGATTCTATGACTCTCCCCCTCCCCCTCCCCTCTACCCCCGCCAGTACATCAATGTATACTTTAGAGATGAGCAAAGTCAAGTGTAATGTGAGGTCTAAGGAGAGAAAGTAGAAGGAATTCATGTAAGAGGTGACATTTAAGGTGGGCTTTAAAATAAGGATAGGAATTCAAGAGGCAGAGAAAAGTAGGTGGAGGGAGGGGGAGAGACATTCCATGATTCCAAGAAAAAGCAATAGCATGAGTAAAGGCAACAAAACATAAAAGTCCATGGCATGTTTGAGGGACAAAGAGTAGTCCATTCATCATATTTTAATTGATTTATTTATTTGTGCCCCTATTTTATCTCCCCTACCCATCATTGAACTCCTTCAGGAAAAGAATCATACTCTATCCAAATATATCGATATTGTCCTTATCCCCCGGATCAAACATGAAAAATAATGTGGTTCTTGCCCTCAGGGAGCCAATAATCTAGTGGAAGAGGGAGGATAAAATATACATAAATCCACATAAAGGTAAGGTAGAATGTAATGGGAGCAGAAGAGAGATCAGACCATTAAGTTAACAGAGGAGCTGTATTTACCAGAAAATCTTAGAAACCAAAAGGATGCTTTCCTTCAGTCCTCTTTCGTTATTCATGGCTCACTTACTGGGGAAGGAGAGTGTGGAAGAGGTAGATGGGAAACTGAAAGAAGAAGGATTTGCTGAGATTCACTGATAACTGATCAGTGACATTCATTGATTTTTCATGCATGCTGGGTAATATTTCACAGTCTGTGTGTTAGGGAAGGCAGAAAAGTTACAAAGCAGTAAATTTCAGCTCAAAATAAGGAACAGCTCCCTAACCACTTGAGTTGTCCCAAGAGAGAATGGACTCCCTCAAGAGGTAATCAGTTCCCCTCCATGAAGAGCTTCCAGGAGGAATGGATGATCATTTGTTCATCTTGGATTTGCTATCAAAAGACCTGAATTCAGACCCCAAATTCTTCTGTATAAGATGTAGCAATCAAATCAATATAATTGGACAAATTGATAATATACTTCTTTAGGCCTTAATTTCCTTTTATATAAAATTTGGGCATTGGACTAGGTGATGTATAAGATCCTTTCCAGTTCAAATTGTTTACAACTCTAAATGTTTTTCTCTGATTAAAAAAAAGAAAGAAAGAAAAAAGAAACCCCACAGAGTCTATTCATTTATCCAGAGTTGGTCATTAGGTTATAATTAATACGTGAGCATCTATAGAAAATTCTTAATGACTCTACCAAAGAGGCTTCCAGGCCGCTTTCACTGATGTGTGCTCAGGATTTCAAACTTGATTTTAATATTAGCTTAAAAAAACCCATAATTAAAATGGTATGGTAATACCATTGGGTGTAGTGGAACACCCACTGGTTTTATAGTCAGAAGATGACAAGGTTCAAGTCCTAGTTATAGCACTTACCGTGAGACCCTGGGTAAATCACTTAACCCTGTCTGCCTCAGTTACTCATCTGTAAAATGAGCTGGAGAAGGAAATGGCAAACCGCTCCAGTAGTTTTGCCATGAAATCCCCAAATGGGGTCATAGAGAGTCAGGCATGACTGAAAATGACTGAACAACAACCACAAGAACTTATGTCACCCCAAGTAAGTTGTGTCACTAACAGAACTGTTTTTTTTAAAAAACAAACTTTTGTTGGTATCTTTTGTTTTTATATTTAGACAAAATTGTATTGATTAAACCTTTTTACAACTCATCTGTTGGGCTTAATAGTCTTGCAATACATCCCTCATGGGGTTGTTATGAGGAAAGAAACAAACATTTATTAAATTCCTACTATGTGCCAGACATTGTGCTAAGTACTTTACAAATATTATCTCATTTGATCCTCACAACTAATCCTGGAGATTGGTGCTATTATTATCTCCATTTTATGGTTGAGGAAACTGAGGTAGATGACATTAAATGACCTACCAGGGTCACATAGCTAATTTCTGAGGCTGAATTTGAGCTCAGGTTTTCCTAAGTCCAGGCCCAGAGCTCTATCCATTGTGTCACTGCTACTTAAGCAAAGCTTCATGTACTGTTAAGATGTGAGTTTTGATAATTTGAAAACTAAATGCAAGAGCTTTTCAAATAATGCCTTCTATTGCAATTCCCCAATCCCTTGTAGCACAGATAATGGAAAATTGACCCTGTTGGAATATACGTAGCATGATTGGTACTAGGAACATATTTCTTATTACCTCAATATTCTTGTCATTGGCAAGCACCTGGAAATCGGTGTCAGAATGCCGAAGTTTCAGACCCACCACTGGGAGGAACAAATCCTCTTTGGCACAGAGACATAAAAAAAAAAAGCAATATTAACATAGACTTAAGAATTGTAACTTACTTTTATTTTAGTGAATTAAATCTACTAGGAAAAAAATGGAGAGACATTGAAAACAACCACATGGCTCTGGTACCTTGCATTAGAGTGCTGAATTCAGTGTAAAAATTCTTTTATACCTCCCATCATTACTCCCTTCCCTCCTTCAAAAACTACATTTTTCCAAGTAAAAGCTTCTGACCCTACTATAAAATGATCATTTCAGGAAGTAGTGTTGGATTTGGAGTTGGAAGACCCAAGTTTGAGTTTGGGCTGCAACACTTCCTAGTCCTAGCTGCGTGATCTGAGGCAAGTGAGCACATCTGAGCATCTTAATTAATTCATCTATAGAAGATGGGTAAAAATATTGGCACACTGGGTAGGGTGTTGGACTTGGAATCAGGAAGACATGAGTTAGAATCTTGCTTCAGATACCCATTAGCTGTGTCACTTTGGTCAAGAGTTGCTTAACCTCACTCAACCCCAGTATCTTCATCTGTAAAAAATAATAATAATAATAATAATAATAATAATAATACCTACCTCACTGGGTGGTGGTGAGGAGCAAATGAGATACTGCAGGTAAAACTCTTTGTAAAACTTAAAGCACTATGTAAATGCTAGTTATTATAACATTGTTACCTAATAATGCTCCAGGAGAAAATGCTTTTGTGATCAGGGTCCCTTTAAGGCTAAATTTCTATGGTTTTATAAATGACTTAATTTTGACAATTTATGTATTTATATATATATTTATATATTTATATATATATATATATTTATGTATTTATATATATATATAATATATATATATATATATATATATAATAAAATATATAATTTGTATGTACCTTGTGGTGGTGGGGAAGGACAGAGAGAGAGGAGAATGATATGTTTATGCTTCCCACCCTCCCTATTTCAACCATTTCCTGGTCTGGCTCTGGGAAGTGCTACTGAGTAGGCTCAGTATGGTGTCTCAGCTGCTGAGACACCTCCTATCATGGGCATATCCACACCTGCCACTTTATACCTTTTCTTTCAAGGAGATCTTCTAGATTTATTTTTACCCAAAGCTTACTGTATTTTTTTTTTAATGAAAGCATTATAGGCATAGAGGAACTTTAAAAAAATTATAAAAAGCATCTATCTAAAATCAAAAGTAAGCATCATATTTAGTGGGGATCACAACAACTCAGGCAGCTAGGTGGCACAGGGGATTGAGTGCTGGACCTAGAATCAGTAAGTTCAAATTTGGCCTCAGACACTGGCTATGTGACCCTGGGCAAGTCACTTAACCCTGTTTGCCTTAGTTTCCTCATCTGTAAAATGAGCTGGAGAAGGAAATGGCAAACCACTACAGTATCTTTGCTTAAAAACAAACAAGCAAACAAATAAACAAACCCAAACAGGTCACAAAGAGCAGGACACAACTGAAATGACTGAACAACGACAAAGAACCTTTTCCAATTAACACAGGAGTGAAGCAAGAATACTCACTCTCCCCACTAGTATTTGATATAGTTCTGGAAATTCAAGGAATAGTATTAAGATAAGAGAATGAAATTAAAGGAATAAATATAGGTAAAGAGGAGATAAAAAACCTCTCCCTGTTTGTTGACAATACGTAGTTTACTTGGAAACTCCTAGGGAATGAGCAGATACTGAGACAATTTTGTTTCAACAAAGTTTAAGGCTGCAAAACAAATTCTCAAAAGTCAATAGCACTTCTTTATAACATTATGGATAATAAATAATAAAATATATAATATTTTATAAGTAACATAAAAATATAATATATAAAAAGCACAAGAAGCAATAGTAGAAAGGGGAATCCCATTTGAAATAACTACAAAATGTATAAAATATCTGAGGATCAACTTCCCAAAGCACACAATTTCCAATTACCAAGTGCTCTTTAAAGAGGTGAAGAATAACTTAAATAGCGGAAGGAATAAAATAAAAGCACTGACATTTCCTTTCCCTACATATTATGTGTTTTACCTTCATCTGAAGTTTCAGAGGTGAAGAACTCTACTGATAGCAAACCTAAAAGATAATTTGAGAAAAAAAAACACAACTCCTTTTAGTGATTAATCAAAATTTTAGCTTTCAGTTCCATGGAACAGTGTTGGGAGAGGCCCTTCCAAAATCATGGGTGCCAGTAATTAAGAGAAAGCTTTTATGGTTCTGAGAATCACAAAGTGAAATTTGGAAATAGCGCCTTAATAATATACATAAGATTTACCCATGGGTCTCCTAAATAGTTATTTGTTATTGAAATATTGAAAAGCTCATAGAACTGATACCATTTTCATTTTAAGTGTTTGAAGCTGCTGGTCATATTGTTGAGTATATGTTGAATAGATGATCCAAATTTTATGAGTTGGTAGATTTATTGGCAGGAAATCAGCAGTGATAGCAATGTCAATTCTGGACAAAAGGTACCATTTCACCTTTTTTGTGGTTAGAAAACAAAAGGGCTGGTATGATCTTTTAATGTGTTTAACAATCATAGATGGCATTTCTTAAGAAGCATAAACTTTGACTTGCTTTGTGATTTTCCATGGTGTAAAGTACCATACTTGAGTGATATTGGGTGATCTGTGAAATAGGAAGACTAGTAAGTGATCCAATTTTTGCAAGTCAATATTTTTTTTTAGAGGGGAAGTGTGTGAAATCAATCATCACATCAATATTAATTCTGGACAAAAGAAAATACTGTACCTCGATCTTGGTTCCCAACTAGGTCTTCAACAAGTATCTCAGGTTTTCCATTGTCGAAAGAAAAAATGACAGCCTTATTTTTGGATGTGTTCAAGCCAGCATAGTGCTTTGTACTCTTCAATTCTACATAATGAAGCATGAAAAGCATTTAGTTCCATGGATTATTATTGTGTGAGGATTTTCTATCTTTTTAAAAAATTAATAGACATATTGCAAATTTATCTGTAGCTTGTTAGCCAGTGGTGGAAATCTTGGGTTCTTAGGAGGCAGTACTGACATAAATTAGATTCCATACTCTCTTCCTGAGGGAAACTTTGCAAAAATATCTTCCTTGACCCAAGAGCTCCTAGATATTCACCTAGGGGTTCCTACTTGGAAAGAATATTGGATATAGAGTCAGGTGATCTAAGGTCAAGTCCCAATTCTAGCAATTATTTGCCATGCAATCTTGGGCAATTCACCTCCTTTCTGTGAATCCTGGTTTCCTTAAGTTAACCAATATTAATTTTTATCTGGTTATTCACTTGCTTGCTTATTGTAGGGAAAATTATCCTCTGCTGACAAAGCTTTATTTATCTCAAACATGAGGGTAAAAAGTTTGATAATTTGCTAGTTCCTGTTTTGATGGGTTGTTTTTTGTTTTTTTGGTTATCAATTACTAATATTTCTTACTGGTGATTTCATCTTAACCAATGAAATAACTGAAAATATAACCTTAGACCCCTTGAAGGAGCCATGATTTAATCATAATAATGATCACTCACATACCATACCATTTATATAACACTCTAAGGGTCACAATGCTAGATCACAGCCTCTCTGTTCTTTTTCATACTAAACAATTTTCTTTGGTTTTCCCCAAATCCTCTATGCAATGTGTTGGGCACCCAATCTTATTCTTTTAATATCTTGGAGGTACCCATGAACAGCTCAGACTATTCATCTGTTGCCTCAACCTTCTTTTTCCAACTATATACGGCCTTGATAATGTCTTTAATGCTACTCTTCAACTTCAAGTCAACTGTGGTAGCATGGTATGGTCTTATGCCTACTATACTCTTTCCATTTTCTGTTGGGTTATTTGTTGTGTTGATTCTTCTGAGGTGATGACCTATGGTTTTAGCTATGTATTATCAATAGGAGAATACTGGTATCAAAGAAATGGAATTCTGTGACCATAAGCAATTTGGTATTAGTGAAAGCACTGTGCAGTTTTTCCATTCCAAATCAGTTTGATTTCTTTCTACTCAGTTCTGGGGTCAGCTTGTCTGTTTGTAGTACCCATTCAAGACATACACACACACACACACACACACACACACACACACACACACACACACACACACACAAATGATGCAGCTAAGTGGTGCAGTGGATAGAGTGCTGGATCTGGAATCTGGCTTTAGATACTTCCAAGCTGTGTGACCCTGGTCAAGTCCTTTAACCTCATCCTCAGTTTCCTCAACTGTAAAACGGAGGTTGATAACACCTACTTCTCAGGATTGTTGTGAAGATAAAATGAGATAATACTGGTAAAATACTTTGCAAACTTTAAAGTGCTAGATAAATTTTAGCTATTATTGTTATGTAAACAGAATACTCATCCCATTGCATGTCACAATCTGGATAATCTGCATTTTTATCTACCTTCTTTTTCTAGTAAGAATAAGATCAGAACAATATATTGAACCCTGCTGCACATTTCCCTGAGGCAGATATTATATTATTCTGGGGAACAAACATTTATTAAGTGCTTTCTATATATAAGGTACTGTGCTAGGGCCTGGGAATATTTTTTGGGGGGGTGGGGGGTGGGGAACTTATTTCGTAGGGCACTCCTGATGATGAATGCAGCTCAGCCACGGTTCTACAGTGTATAATCTTAAGAGAGTTGCCCAAGGCATTGAGATGTTAAATAAAATAAATTGTCTAGTTTATGTCATTGTAATTGATTGTAATTGAAGCTTACTGAATTTGAGGCACGCTTTCTCTCTGTGCCAGGATTCTGAGGGATAAAAGTTTAAAAAGCAGCAGAGGAAAGCAAGAACCCTTCCCCCTCAACATGATGCATTGGGGCACCTCCAATGCATGTGGCTCAGATCTCCAAGGGGTCATGTAGCACATGACTTTAGTGTTCTGATGTAAATGTTCATACCAAAAATTTAATGAACAGCTCTCTAGAACTGGTTCAAACTGGCTCCAGCAAATCCCTGGTGGGAATGTAGAAAAGAGCAATTTAGTGAAGTGATAAAGTTGGAAGCCAGATTTCAAAAGATTGAGAAATAAGTGGGGAGTGAATAAATAAAGACAAAGAGGAAATTCTTGACCTCTAAAATGAAGGGGTTGGCTGGTCTCCATAGTGCCTTCTACTCCTCTATCCTGTGATTATGTAATACTATAAGTCCTCAATAACTATGGGACCACCATAACAGACCCAGCTTAATGGAGAGATGAAAACCAAAGGATAATAACTTTTCTCCATGCTTTAGTAAAGTCTAGTTTGTTATAATCGTTGTAAAGAATTGGCACATCTGCTGAAGCCAGAATCCCTAGGGGCAACCTTTACAACTTTATCATTCTTTTCTGTAAGGAACTTCTAAATAAATTATCCAGAAAGTTCATGAGCTATAGTCTGTCCCTAGAAGAGAATATAGTTTGTTCCTAGAAGAATGGGTCAGGAGCCATTTTTAGGTGCTAGTGACCCCAGGACAAATCAGAATGGGTGCTTCCCATACATCCACACCCTCGGTGAATGTGGCTATACAGTTGCAGTGTGGTGGGAAGAAAGCTAGTCTTGGCATCAGAAGATTGGGCTCGAGACCTATTTCAGACACTTACTGGCCATGTGATTATGGGGCAACCACTTGAACTTTCAGATACTCAGTTTCCTTAGCTATAAAAAAGAGAATACAAATGCTTACACTCTCTACCCCTACTGATTGTCACAACAAAAGCTTTTCCAAAACTTATAAAGAATGATATACAAGCTTTAGAGAAGGGAACATATGCAGAGTAAGGATCCACTCCAGATAACCCTCCTGGAGTTGGGAAGGATGTGACTATGTTTGGATTTTCAGGGAAATCTCTCCAATATGGAGAGAGAGAGAGAGAGAGAGAGAGAGAGAGAGAGAGAGAGAGAGTGTGTGTGTGTGTGTGTGTGTGTGTGTGTGTGTGTTTTCCCCACTTACTAATGCCTGGGAAAACAGATGAGAGAGCAGGGTATTGTGCCTCTGTTTTTTTCCCCCATACAATCCTTTGAATAGTAGCTGCTTTTAGTACATTCTCTATTAACAGGAGTTCAGTTTCCAGTAAGCTCTAAGTCTGCAATAAAGAGGCAGTCAGAGACAGCCAAGGTTGTGTTTCTTACATGATATTTATTCTGAAATTCTATCCCATGAACCCAAGGGACATGGTTAAGAGCCCCAATTGTAACATGACCCTAAGTCAAATAGAGTGATTTTTTTTTGTCCTTTGAATACTTCATAGAGTTTCCCTGCCCATCATTTTTGAGGAGGAAATTAAAAAAAAATTCAGACTCTCCCTTCCCCCAAATGATTATCACCTCAGTACCCACCTGCTCACTGTGGACTGAAAATCAAAGCAAAATTTTTAGCACCTAATTTTATACATTCTAGCACTAGGGCTCCCCTGTTTTTTAATCTATAAGTTTGCTATTTATGGGTTCTGCTTATTTGTCTTTAATTTGTCTTAGCTATGCCTCACAGGAGTTATTTTTTAAAATTTTGTTGCCTTTTCAAAAAAAGTCAGCATAGGGGGCGCTATTCTGTTATCTTTCATCATCTATTTTGAGTTTATGGCAATAATGCAGTTAAAATGATTATTTTTTTTCTGTGTTTATCTACAGTGGAAGTTTTTCTCCTTTTTTGCAGCGAAATTAAGAGAGGAGTTCCTTTATATTCTTGCTGCTCTCTGGATGGAATCTCACTTTTTTAGGAAGAAATAATAGAAGACAATTTATACCCAGGATTCAAAGCTAGAAGGGACCATAGGGATATTTTCATTCAATCTCTTTCATTATCTAGATAAGGAAACTGAGGCCCAGAGTGGGAAATTGCTTTTGCCTAAGGTCACAAGTAGTAAGTTGAAGAAGCAGGTTCAAATGCACACTTTTCTGATTCCATTCCTGGCAGTCTCTCCATTACAGAACAGAATCCCTAAATCAACAAATCACTGAAAGATGAAAAATAGGACAGACCTGGAGGAAAACTGTCAAATGTTTTGTTATCAATATACTGTCGATTTTCTTTCTGGCGTTTTTTTATAAATGGGGCTTCATGTACTGCTTGCTGCCTTCTCATTGCACTTCTGAAAACTGAGGCTTCATTTCCCACGATGCATCTTGAACGTAAATTCTTATAGATAATCTGATAGCTTTCCCCAGAATTTGAGAATCCTACACAAGTGAGAGAACAGATCATGGTGGGAGGCAGTATTTATTATTACTCAGTAGCAAACAACCCCATTCCCATACACATTCACTCTCCTATAATCCTCTTGCAAATTAGTGTATGTATTTCCTTTGGCCAAGAAAGTAGATGCCAAAAAGATAACCGTTTATCCTGATCTGTGTCTTACCACACTAGACCCAGTTGGCTGTGAAGGAAAGAGTGAGGCTGGTGACTTTGCACAGCTCTCCCTCACTTAAATCCTATTTACTTGCAAGTTATAGCATCACCTTCCTGATGTCATGGTCCTCTTCAAAATCAAAGGACAAACAACAACCTGTGAGTGGTAGTAGCTGCCCCACTGGGGTCTCAACTGGCCAGTTCCAGTTGGCCAACACAGCTCCCTTCTTCCTTCCTTCTTTTCCTCCCTCCTTCCCTCCCTCCTTCCGCTACCTCTGTCCACATAGGGTATCATATTGTTGCCAAATGATGGGGTATGGGCCCAAGCCGAGACCTTTGCCCCTTGCCCAAAAAAGAATTTGGGTTCCATTTGTCTAGGGCCCCAGAAAACCCTTCAACTTTCTTTGACCACACTCTGGTCTCAAATGGTTGCCTGAGGCTGTACTCCACTCAACTGGCTTTTCCTCATCTCTTATTCTTGTGGACTGACTCTCCCTATCTCTCTTTGAAGAGCCCAGACATTATCATCAGAATTCTCCCTAAACTCACCCCAGCTTCAGGATCTTTCTCCCAGCCCCTCCTCTGATTGCCCAAAATTACTTGAGTGTATATAAGATCCACCTTGGCCCCCATTTAAATGCTGAGATTTCTTCATGCCCGCTTGTCCTTACTGGCTTCACTAATGTGCAGATTCCTTAAGAGTCTGGCCTATACAGTTTATCTCTAATAAAAACTTTATCTCTTGCTGAAAGAAGATTTGGGTTGAATTCATTTGGGCAGGGCCCACCAAGAATCTAGAACCCCAAGAATCTAGACTTCATTAGTAGCTGCCCCACTGAGGACATAACTGGCCAGTTCCAGTTGAGCAACACAGCTCCCTCCTTCCCTCCTTGTCTCCCTCCCTCTGCTACCTCTGTCCACATAGTGTACCATATTCTTGCCTGTGGGTGCTCTGCCCAAAGGGATATAAATTTTGATTGCTGAAACCTCACAAGATATCTTGGGTTTTACCTGCTAGATTTCTTTCTTAAGGACCATGCCTCAAACCCAAATCACCTTGGTTCTCATTGATTGGCCAACAATAGGCCCCAGCCCAAGTCTCACTTGGTCATTGTGTGGGCCCTGATGGCTCAGAGTGAGTGTAAATAGCAATTATTTCTATTTTGGTCAGAGACCATGAGGACCTTCCCATACCAGACTGATTTTTTTTTTTTGACTGCGTGAAAGAGGCCACTTTGCCTTATTTCTTATCTATTCTTAATCACTGAATGGGCATTGCCTCAGTCAAACTGACACCTGTTAAAGACCTTAGCTTAAAAAGGCCAAGATCTCCCACTGCATCCTGGGCCATCTTCAATCATCCTGATTTATATCATGCCACTGGACCTAGATGGCTCTGGAGGAGAAAGTGAGGCTGGTGACTTTGCACAGCCCTCCCTCACTTAAATCCAATTCACTTGCAAGTCATGGCATCACCTTCCTGATGTCATGGTCCACTTTGAGAAGGAAGACGACAACAACAACAACAAGTCTATGATAATAAAGGCATTCAGAGATAGCCCAGGCTGTGTTTCTTACATAGTATTTTTTGGAGATTCTATTCCATGAACCCAAGGGATGTGGTTAAGACCCCCAATTGTAACATGACCCTAAGTTGAATGCAGTAATTGTTTTTTTATCCCTTGAATACTCCATAAAGTTCTCCCATTCATCATTTTTGAGAAGTAAATTAAAAAAAAACTTTTGGAGGGAATTTAGACTTCCCTCCCCTCCACCCTTCTAAATGATCATCACCTCAGTAGCCACCTGCTCACTATGGACTGAAAATCAAAGCAAGATTTTTAGCCCCTTATTTTACACATTCTAGCACTAGGGGTCCCCTGTTTTTTTAATCTGTAAATGTTATTTGTGGGTTATAGGGCACAGGTAGTAAATTGCAGAAGCAAGTTCAAACCCACACTTTCTGATTCCATACCTGGCAGTGTCTCCATTACAGCACAAAAGTCTTCAAATCAACACATAATTGAAATATGAAAAACAGAACATACCTGGAGGAAAACTGTTGAGTGTGCTTTGCTTAGAAGTAAACTGCATGTTTTTCACTTGGTAGCTTCTCATTTTATGTCTGATAATTGAGGCTTCATTTCCCACAGTGCATCTTGAACGTAAATTCTTATGTATGATCTGATAGTCTTTCCCAGAATTTGAGACTCCTACACAAGAGAGAGAATAGATTGTGGTGGGAGGCAGTATTTATTATTACTCAGTAGCGAACAACCCTTTTCCCATACCCCTTCATTCTCCTGTAATCATTTTGCAAATTAGTGAGTGTGTTTCCCTTGATCAAGAAAGTAGATGCCAAAAAGATAATCACTTTTTCCCATACTGAAGAGAACTCTGATGGCTAAATAAATTCTAACATTGGCCTAGGGGCAGAACAGCTGTGTTCATATTTTAATTCTACTATACACTAACTACGTGACCTTGGACAAGTTGTTTCACCTCTGTACTTCTCAGTTTGCTCATCTGAAAAATGGTGACTAAAATACTTGTCCAATCTACTTCATGGGGTTGTAAAGAAAGTGCTTTGTAAACCTTAAAGTGCTAGCAAAATGTGAACTATTATCATTGCTCTGTTGCCCTGCATAACGTTTTGAGTTGTTCTACATGATAGAAATGAACCCACTCCATTAAGGTTGAAATAGGCAAGTCTTAAAATCTTGATAGCTTGACCTGCATAAATACATAGGTTTCAATGTATTATGGATAGGATCATAGATTTCGAATTGCAAAGGATCTGAGAAGTTATCTAGTCCAATCTTCTCACTTTGTAGACAAAGAAACTGAGCCCCTGAGAAGTTAAACGATTCAGTTAAAGTCACAGAAGTAATCAGTGACAGAGCCAGGATTTGAAGCCAGGTCTCTGACTCCAAGTCCAAAGCTCTTTCCATTGTCCCACAATGGGTTCCTGTGACTCCTGTATGTAAGGAATTTTCAGGCAACTGCTCTTTGCTCCTCAGTTCAAAGGACCTTTGCTGGCCCTCCCTAACCTGAATGCCTTCCCTCTGGGATTATGTCCAGTGTATCCTGTATGTGTCTTGTTTGCACATAGTTTGCATTTTTCTTCCCTGTTAGACTGTGGGTTCCTCAGGGGCAGGTCTTCCCCCACCTCCTTTTCTTTGTATCCCTAGCGGAGTGACTATTACAGAGAAGGCACTTAATAAAATTCTTATAGACTTGACTTGAACTACAGAATGATTGATATTGCATGCAGCTATAGAGAAGTATCTCCTCTTATGTGAATGAGGAGTTCCATTACTTGTACCTGGGAATATCATTATTGGAGTTGCATTATTGGTGCTCTCACTCTGACCTCATTGGATGGAGTGAAAGGAATAATGGATGGCAAACTTGAATTCTACCTCCAGCTTTGTAACTCACTAGCTATTTGATCATGGGCAAGTCAGATATCATCTCTCAGCCTTAAATTCACAGGGATCATAGCATTTAAAGCTGGAAAAGACCATGGAGGTCAACTGATTCAATTTTCCGTATTACATATTACTCATCCACAGTCACATATACAAATAAGAAACAGAACTAGAGTTCAACCTATGTCTTCAAACTTTGGCATCTTGTTATCTGTCCTTCCACCATATAAATATTCCCTGCCTTCTTTCTCCTCCATCATTTTTACCTTTCATTTTGGGAAAAGCAATCAAATCAATACTATCATTGCTTTTGGAAAGGTGGAGGAAGATGGCAATGTTAAAGGACTGCCTATGTAGTACAGAGGATGTCTGCAGAAGCTACTGATCCTCAATACTTAATAGTTCTACAATTCATTACCTTGCTAAAGTGAATACTTCTTTGACACAGATTGGCTCTAATTCCTCAACCATCCTCTTTCCCATGTCTCAGCAGTTGGTCTTTGTGAATTTCTGTGACCCAAAAGTTTATCCTCTCATAGACCACTCTTTGGTAATGATACTCTCTGAACTTAGGCTGATCATCCTATGACCAATGGACAGACAAACAGGGCATATGAACTTATTATCTTTTCCTTCTCCCTTCATCTAAGCTTCCCTATTTCCATTTTTATCTTCCCATTGAAGGCATTATCATCCTTTCAGTCTCCCAGGCTCATGACCTTGACATTATTCTCTATTGCTAACTCTTCCTCACCCCATATGTTCGATCATTGTCATTCTTGACATCCTTTTTGCACTACACTATAGTGTTTTCTGCCTAATTATGTCAACTACTCTCTTCAATCAAGTGTAATGTTTAAACTTTTGTTCAGGTGCTTCCAACAAGAAGTCATCCATAGACTCACTTATGTACTCTAACATTTTCTAGAAAGGTATGGGGGGAAACCCCAAATGTACTTTTGCTGTAAATGGAATTTTAGATATTGACACTTAGGTCCTCTCTTCTCCTGGGCTGCATTTAGACATACTGACATCAAGAAACCAAACAGAAGGGTTAATTAGATTGTTGTTTCCAGGTATACATGATGGATCCAAAATTAGCTAAGAAGTGACTGGAAGTGTCAGAAACTTGTCATCTCACTTTATGATGAGACTTACTTGACCAAGTTTCCAAAAAGGTCATTCAATTGATTTCATGCATTCAATACAAGGATGCTTAAATACACTTCTCTTGAACAACACTTTAAAAAACAGGTCCATTATGAGATGCTAGGGACTTTTTGTCATATTGAAATTTTCTTGTGATAACCTTAGTTTGTAATTGAATTTCTATGTTAATTTCTAAGAGGCACTAACTTCTCAAGAGTCTTATGCTGCAAGAATTGTACTTTCTAGAAAAATTTCAGGCTGCAGAGTTTTGCAATTCAACCTTATGTCAGGCTTTCAAAAGTGGAAAGTATCAAGTGTTACATAAGTATTCATTAGTATTATGAATATGGACAGAGCAAAGTGGAGTTACAAAAACATTAATTCACAATTGCATAGTGAGATTCGCAAAGTGCTTTCCCCATAGGCACCCTTTGAGGTCGATAGTGGCAGCATCTCTATTTTTCAGATGAGGACACCAAGGCTTTCATAGGTTGACTGACTTGCTCATAGTCATACAGCTAATGGGTATCAGAAGCAAGATTCAAACCTAGGTTTTCTGACTTCAAATCTCAGATGCTCTCAGCTACATCACAAGCGGTAAGAACTCTACTCTGTATTTCAGCTCTCTGTCTTACTTTGTTCCTTTCTCTCCAACCACCTGAAATCTCCTGACAATGTTTCATCTATGGGGAATCTCTCCCTATTCTTCTTGCTCATCCAGATAACCCCCTCCAACTCTTCTGCTCATCATCAACTCAATTGACTTATTAGAAAAAAATACTGATTTTCAGTAGTTCTATAAGGTACCAGGACCAAAAAAGATAGTCCTATAAAATGGTCATTATAGAGCAGAATTATAGGGTAGCTAGGTGGCACAGTGGATAGAGTGGTGGGCATGGAGTCAGGAAGATTCATCTTGAGTTCAAAACTAGCCTTAGACACTTACTAGCTATATGACCATGGGCAAGTCACTTAACCCTGTTTGCCTCAGTTTCCTCATTTCTAAAATGAGCTGGAGAAGGAAATGGCAAACCACACCAGTATTCTGCCAAGAAAACCCCAAATGGGATCATGAAGATTCACACATGGCTGACACAACTAAATAATAAATTGATCAGAGTTACAGGTGCTACTTTTTTTCTTTTTTTGTGTGTTTTTTTAATCCTTCAACTGGTTCTAAACCCTTCAGGTTTGAGATCTATAGTCTTCTTCGTTTTTTAGCCAACTCTCTGTTACCAAGAGACTGATATATTTCTGTATTATCCAGGCCTTTTAACTGCTCAATGAGACCTCTACAACAAGGTTAGAAAGAAGTAGGAAGATGATTAAGTATAATTATTATCACCAGTAATAATTATTACTAATTATAATACTTCCATTTATATAGCACATTAAGGTTTATAAGACACTGTAACCACATTATTACATTTGAATATCACAGCAAACCTGTAGGGTAAATCCTGATACTATTATTATGCCCAGTTTTATAAATGAGAAAAATTAAGAGAGATTGAGTGACCTTCTAGGTCACATAGCTAGAGGCAGTGCATTTTAGTGGAATGGGGCATGATGGCCTAAGTTTGAATTTCAGGTCAGATACTTATTTTTGTGAACTTTGATTAAGTCATTTCCCCTCTCTGAGCCTCAGTTTATTTATCTATAAAATGGGGGGGTAGGCTTAATGATCCCTAATTCCTCTACCCCATTTCTATATCTAAGATTCAAAATATGAGGGGGCAGAATTAAAACCTGAGTCTTTCCTGACTCTGACTTCAGCATTCTTTCCATTAGATAGCTGATTCAGTTTAGCTATTTATTAGCATATTATTTTCAAAGTAATTATTAGCATATTATTTTCAAAAAAGAACAATTTGGTTAGGGGATGTTTCCAATGATTGTCTACTCAGGTCTAGAGCTTATTAGTGGAATTGAATTTCCCAATTCAAATTCAAATAAAAATTTGACAAATGTGTATTGATTTCTTACTATATATATATGGGCAAGGAGAAGTGAGATACAAAGATAAATGCCTTGGTCCCTTTGTCTGAAGGAGTTCATAGTCTAGTAGGGGAAATGACATTCAAATAAGTACAAAATGAAGTAGAAGGAGTTAATGCATAATAGATATACCAGTAAAGTGCTATGAAAGGAAAGATCACTTTTAGCTTAAGGGATTATGGAAGACTTCATGGAGAAGGTGGCATCTACAAAATACTGAATGCTTCCAGAGCATCCAAATTTTGGCTTGACACAATCAACTCAAAGCCAACAGTTGTTACATCACGCATAACCATGGGTTTCTTGTCCATTCTAGGTATTGTAGTCATGTTTCCTTTGAGTAACAGCAGCATTTATATTGAGACAAATGAAAAGTCTGAGAGATAGAGTTTCTGGGTAATTAATAATTAGTAATCAATTTATTAATTAGGCTAACAAATAATAAATTGAGGTCAGTGGGCTTTCTTATAACCAAAGACCCTGCATGGAGGTCACTGAATGAATGCTTAAATAACTTTGGAAAAAGGGGTATTCCTGATTGGTTAACAATTAATGAGAGAATGAATATTATAATAAAGGTGGGGTTGTTCTAATGAGGGACTGGGGGGGGGGAAGAGCTATGACTTTGATCTTGTCAGCACTCCCATTCTGTGCTAGTCAGCACTTCTTCATTCTGCCTCTAGCAATCTATAACAAAAGAATCTTTTCCTCCCAGTTCTACTTAAGTTGAACAGTGGTGGGGCTATGGTAAGAATTCCACCTAGATAAGATGGTCTGGGTGGGGTGAATTTTAGTGCAAGGTTAGAAATGTTCTTGAGAGACTGGGCTTTGAATGAGAAAGCATAAAAAAGGATTTTTGGGTCCCATATATAAACTTGGTTATTAATATGAAAAAACAATCATTTTTCTCATTATGAACAAAAGATGACAAATATTCTGATAAGAGGTAAGATAAAAATGTTGATTTGGAAAATGAACCATCCTTACCTGGTTTCTGGGAAGTTTTCTTGCTTTTTTGGTTTGTTATGTTTTTCTGCTTCCCATTTAGATTCTTCATCCTTAGTCTAAGATGTTCTGGTCTCTTTGGAATTTAAAAGCTGTATAATGATGTCAAATTTCTTGACTACAGTTCTAGGGGGGAAAGGAAAATTAGAGTTCTTTCTTGGTAGGTGTTGATGTTTAAGAAATTACTAACCATTTAACTTTGTTATTCTTGTCACATCTGACTCTTCGTGACCCCATTTAGGTTTCTTGACAAAGACACTAGAGTGGTTTTGATGAGGTTGGGATCTAAACCCCAGAAAGGAAAAACCCTGGACTTTCTCCTGTGGCCAAATGTCTGGTGGTTCGCCTGAGGCTATAATCCCATCAACTGGCCTTTCATTGTGGCTACACCCAATCTCCCCTCCATTGTCTTACCTCCCTTATGGCCCCTGGCCATTTCCCACACTTAATCCTAGGTAGGCTCCATTGTCCAGGTCCCAGGAGTTCTGTTCACCCCAGTTTACTGGCCACTCCCATTCAGATTTACTCCTAGATCCCTCCCACAGTCTTTATATAAGGTCCATCTTGTCTCCATTAAGATGCTGGGACCCTTATTCTCAGCCAATGCTGAGATTCCTAAAATCTAGCCGCTGCTTAGATTCTTATAATCTAGCCAATAAGCCAATAGTTTACTAATGTTCAGACTTCTTAAGAGTCTGTGCAATATGATGGATGTTCTAATAAACCTTGTCTTTGGTTGAAAGAAGGCTTGGGTCGAATTCTTTTAAGCAGGACCTGTGTGTTGTGATTTTGGGGTCCCTGAACCTCTAAACAGCATCAGTTTGCCATTTCCTTCTCCAGCTCATTTTATGTGAGGAAACTCAAGCAAACAGGGTTAAGTAACTTGCCCGAGGTCACACAGCTAGTTAGTGTCTGAGGCCAAATTTCAACTCAGAAGTTTTCCTGACTCCAGGCCCAACACTCTACCTACTGTGCCATCTAGCTGCCCTAATCATTTAACATGTTCACTTGTTAAAACAAATATTTTTGCATTGAGAACACTGCTAACGCATGAGAGATATGAAACTTACATAAATCATGGTCCTACACTTCATGAAGCTTATAGTATAATAAAGAGTTAAGATGCAAAAATGGATAACTTATATACAATATTACATGACTAGTGTATCATAGAGGGCAAACCAAGATGCTACATGGAAGGGAGGGCAGAAATTATTTCTGCAGAGGTATCAAAGAAGATTTCCTTCATTGAGCTTAGGAATTTAACAGGTGAAGAGGCAATGGGAGGCCATTCCAAACACTGGATTAGACATTCCCAGGGATAGGAAGTTTCAGGAGTCAGAGAGAAGTCCAGTTGGATTGGAGCATAGAGTACACTTAAGGCAGCATAATATCATGAGGCAAAGCTAGAAAAGAAGGGTGATGCCAGATTGCGGAGAATCTTGAAAAGCAGGTGGAGGAATTTGAAGTCTATTTGGTATGCAATAGTGAGCCATAGAAAGTTTTTGAATCAAATTATGTGTGAAAAAATGTGTCTATTAATAGGATCCTAAGAACATTGAATCCCTCTGTGAGAATCCTTCCTGGTTATTCCTTGGCAACATATTAATTTCCTTATCCCTTTTCTTGCCCCTTGTTGATTTAGCACTTTCTCCTTACATTGATACTCCATCTTTCATGCATTCTTAGAATACCAAATTATATTTGCTTTCATTTCTTGTAGGTGAGACTTTTTCATAGTTTTTTACATACTTCTAGAATGCTTTTAGGGCATTTCAGCTCCACTACTTACTAGTGTAATGACTCCAGTTGGGCACTCCCCTTTGTAAGGGTCAGTTTCCTTATCCAAAAGATGGCGATAATAATCCTTGCACTAACTTATATGACAACCTTTTTGTGTGTGTGTGTGTGTGTGTGGATCAAATAAGATAATGTTATAGAAATCACTTTGCAAACCATGAGCTATATGTCAATGATTATCATTATTATTCATTATATTAGCAAATTAAATTAGTGAATTAATTACATTAGCAGAACCATAAAGCACTTTGCAAACCTTGAAGCACTAAGTAAATGATTATTATTGTTATTATTACTCTTGCTATTATAATCTTTGAAAGAAGTTTTGTGAGAGGAACAATTTAAAAGAAATATTAGAGCATGGAATACAGCACTGAAAGATAGTATATCATATATATTTATCATATACATATATATTTTATTCCTAACAAGAAGAGTTTCACTACAATGATGGGTCAAATTTTAAAAACACATGCTCTGACAAATGTTTATTTTTCATATCTTTTCTCACGATGTTTATATACAGATAATCAGCCTACTTTAGATAAAAAAAACCTCAACAATATAAGGAAGTACAGTAGGGTGAGGCCAGAGTTTCCCCTCCCAGGACATTAATATTCCCCTAGGATTAATAATTTCCTAGCCTCCCATTCCTAACAGCTTATTAAAACACACCCCACATTCTTCCCCTTTCCTGATAAGAGAGGAAATGGAGCTAAGGGGAAATTTAGCAGAATTAGACTTTTTTTTAAAAAGAAAAAAATCTCTTCCTCACTTTTGCAATGAAAAGTACAGTGACTGTGGAGTCAAAAGATGTGTTTTGATTCTCAAATTTTTACCTACTAAATGTGTGGCCCTGGCTAAATCACTTAAATTCTATGTACCTTATACAGGTTATCCTCCTCTATAAGCCAAGTGGGAGAGACTACGTGATAGGAGCAACATCACTTTCACATAACCTAGGCTAGTTTTTTTATAAAAAGCCTAGAAACTGGCCTTATGGCTTAATTGGTCCAGGGGACTAAGGCTCTAACCACTGATATAGCTTCCCAATCACCTAAGGCATAAAAAGCCCACCAAGAATTTAAGCTACTTGGATTTGACAAATTCTCTGCCACTATGTGAGTCAACACACACTTGTGACCAAGCATACCACCATGACAAATGTGAGGATGAGGGGATCTGCATGAGATGAGAGAGTGAGACAGAGACAGAGAGGGAGAAAGAGAGACAGACTCCTTATTAAGGGCTTATCAATATCGTATCTTTGTTGAATATCCTTTTCATATTATTATGAACTTCTTTTTGTTAACCATTAGATGGTCTAGAAATACATCATTTCATTCCAATCATGAATTAGCAGACCAGATTGAGTCAAGCCCAGCCCTGAATAGGTTAGATGAGTTCTAAGCACTCTTTCAGTTCTCAATTCTATAATACCACTATCTCTGGATTCCTGAGGAGTTAAAAAACTCAGTTTATTTTAGTTAGATATTGGAATTGTATCTAGAACATTGACTTGAACACCATATGTACTCAGGGTAGTATGGAATCATGGACAGAGCCTTGGACCTAGAGTTATAAACTGGTTTATGACCTAGTTTCAACACTTGTTACTGTGTGACCCTAGACAAGTTATTTAACTGCTCCAAACCTCTGATTCTTCATCTTGGAAATGAGAGTTATAATGATTGTCATGCCAATGTCCAGAGGTTGCTATGAGAAAAGTACTTTTTTAACCTTTAAAGTGCTATTTGAAAAAAAAATCAAGTGCTATTTGTAGTAATAGGCTATTAGAGTTGGAAGTGCCCTTAGAGGTAATTTTGTCCAACCCCCCATTTTGCACAGAAGGAAACTGAAATGTAGAGAGACTATGACCTGCCCAAAGTTATGCAACTTAGTGGCTTAGCTGGGACTCAGATCTTTAGATACCCAGTTCTGTGCTTCCTTCCTTCCTTCCTTCCTTCCTTCCTTCCTTCCTTCCTTCCTTCCTTCCTTCCTTCCTTCCTTCCTTCCTTCCTTCCTTCCTCTTCCCAAAAATTAATTTATTTTCATTTGTTTTTAATATTCTTCTCTTTTGGGGCAGCTAGGTAGTGCAGTAGATACAGCTCTGGCCTTGGAGTCAGGAGGACCTGAATTCAAATCCAGCTTCAGATACTTGATACTTAACTAGCTATGTGACCCTGGGCAAGTCACTTAACCCTGATTGCCTCAACAAAAAGCAAAATTTTAAAAAAGCAAAAAAAAATTCTTTTCTTTTTAAATTTTGAGTTCCAAATTCTCTCCCTCCCATCCTTCCTCACCCACAGAGAAGGCAAGAGAATGATATTAACTATGCATGCAAAATTATGAAAAACATATTTTCATATTAGCCATATTGCAAAAAAAGGAAAAAAAGAAATGAAGTGAGAAAAGTATACTTCAGTTTGCACACAGAGTTCATCAGTTCTCTTTCTGGAGATGCATAGAATTTTTTTTTAATCAGGCATCCTTTGGAATTGCCTTGGATCATTGTATTGATCAGAATAGCCAAGTATTTCATAGTTGGTCATCATTCCAACATTGCTATATACAATGATCTCCTGGTTCTTCTCATTTCACTTTGCATCAATTCATACAAGTCTTGCTATTTTTTTTTTCTGAAACCATCTCCCTTGTCATTTCTTATAGGACAATAGTATTCCATCATAATCATATGCCAAAACTTGTTCAGCCATTCCCTGATTGATAAGCATCCCTTCAATTTCCAGTTCTTTGCCGCAGAAAAAGAGCTGCTCTAAATATCTTTGTACAAATAGATCCTTTTCCTTTTATCTCTTTGGGCTACAGACCTAGTAATGGTATTGCTGAGTCAAAGGGTATCCATCCGCTGTTTTATAGCCCTTCAGGCATAGTTCCAAATTGTTCCCCAGAATGGTTGGACCTGTTCACAATTCCACCAACAGTTCATTAGGGGACCTATTTTCCCTCATCCCCTTCAGCGTTTGTCATTTCTAATAGGTGTGAGGTGGTTTTAATTTGTTTTTTTAATTTGCATTTCTCTAACCAATAATGATTTAGAGCATTTTTTCACTTGCTAGAGACAGCATTGATTTCTTTTTCTGAAAACTGCCTGTTCATATCCTTTGAACATTTATCAATTAGAGAATGGCCCTTATTTTAATAAATTTGACTAAGTTCCCTATATATTTGAGAAATGAGGCTTTTATCAGAGAAACTTATTGTAAAAAAATTTTTTTTATATTGCTCTGTTGTCTATGGGACCTTTTAGCAAAATATAATTTTATCTCTTTTAATTAGGTCTATTTTTGCTTTTGCTTTGTCTG